GTTTTGCTCCTGTCACCAGTAAAGTTTATCTCTCTAACTTTTACCTATTTATAACACATCTATATTTGATTACTCTTTAATAATATTGTTCTTCTTACATATAAAATGGACCATACTTTGTACCTACAAATTGGTTCTTGAAACCACCCAATTAATAAAATTCTAGAAGCAAAATACAAAGTGGTTTGGTAGCCGTGAGAGTCTTATGACTGGTAAAAGATCACTCCACGACCCATGAGGTAGTTGTAGCGACCCCAATTCTAAATATACATATTCACCCTTTAAATATATATACATCACACCCTAGCCTCACCAAGACAAACACAAAACATACATATTTCCTTTGAGCCAATACCAAATAAACAGAGCCAAACAAATTCAACACCAAAATATGGCTCCTCCTGCTACTACGCTGACATCCATTGCGCATGAGAAAACCCTACAACAAAAATTCGTCCGAGACGAAGACGAGCGTCCAAAGGTTGCCTACAACGAATTCAGCAACGAAATTCCGATCATCTCGCTTGCCGGGATCGATGAGGTTGAAGGCCGCCGGGCCGAGATTTGCAAGAAGATTGTGGAAGCTTGTGAGGACTGGGGTATTTTCCAGATTGTTGATCATGGAGTTGATGCCGAGCTCATATCGGAAATGACCGGTCTCGCCAAAGAGTTCTTTGATTTGCCATCGGAGGAGAAGCTCCGCTTCGACATGTCCGGTGGCAAAAAGGGTGGATTCATCGTGTCCAGTCATTTACAGGTGATCACAACGCTATATATAGGAATTCGAAATATCAGGATCTTTGTACACCAAAATAAAATTTGTTAGCTTATTGTTATTTTTAAAAATAAATTGTTAGAACGCATTAACTCGTTATTAGTTTAGTAATACAAGAAATTGAAGTACTACTGACTTATGTCCTAACACATGACATATTTGGATTGTAAATTTAGGGAGAAGCTGTGCAAGATTGGCGTGAAATTGTGACCTACTTTTCATACCCGATTCGCCACCGGGACTACTCGAGGTGGCCGGACAAGCCAGAGGCATGGAGGGAGGTGACGAAGAAGTACAGCGACGAGCTGATGGGGCTGGCATGCAAGCTCTTGGGGGTTTTATCAGAAGCCATGGGGTTGGATACAGAGGCATTGACAAAGGCATGTGTGGACATGGACCAAAAAGTGGTGGTGAATTTCTATCCGAAGTGCCCTCAGCCCGACCTAACTCTTGGCCTCAAGCGCCACACGGACCCGGGCACAATTACCCTTTTGCTTCAGGACCAAGTTGGTGGCCTTCAGGCTACTAGGGATGATGGGAAGACATGGATCACCGTTCAACCAGTGGAAGGAGCTTTTGTGGTCAATCTCGGAGATCATGGTCATGTGAGTAAAATACTAAACAATCTTATAATTTTTTTTGGCAAACGATAGGTTTTGTTAAATTAAATGTTAAATTAGCTACCGACGGAGTTTAAACAATTTTATAATTAAACTTGCAGTTTACAAATATTTTTTAACTCAAACGGTTTTATTAGAACGTTACAAGGTGCATAAATAAAATAAAATTTACAAATATTTCTTAGCATGGTAATGGTTTAAAAGTCGTACAGAAATGGAAGTAAATTATGATTACATTTTTGTCACGTTATAGAGGGGTTCATGTGTCATAAAAAATTCAATAAAAATGGGTATGCTCGTGATGATGATGGTGGGTAATTAAATGCCATTATATTTATGTGATGAGCAAGATAGGGGCGTTTTATATGGGGTTTTCTGTACCACACAACAATGCATATGAACACCTCATATTTAATACAATTGCGTGTGCTGTTGGCAATTGACATTAGAGAATAGGAAAATGGCTGCATAGGGTTTATGTTATGGTCAGTCGTTTACATTTATTTGTGTGACCATTGTTGAGAGTGAGATTCCTGATGCATCAATAGTCGAGATTTACTTACACGTGCATGAACGCAACACTAAGGTTTAGCGGTTTAGCATATAACGAAACATAAAATCATGGGCTTGAGTCAATTGAACTGATTGAATTATTGTGCATAATTGTTTGAGCAGTTTCTGAGCAATGGGAGGTTCAAGAATGCTGATCACCAAGCAGTGGTGAACTCAAACAGCAGCAGGCTGTCCATAGCCACATTCCAGAACCCAGCTCAAGATGCAATAGTGTATCCACTCAGTGTGAGGGAGGGAGAGAAGCCGATTCTCGAGGCGCCGATCACCTACACCGAGATGTACAAGAAGAAGATGAGCAAAGATCTTGAGCTTGCCAGGCTGAAAAAGCTGGCCAAGGAACAGCAACTGCAGGACTTGGAGAAAGCCAAAGTGGAGACAAAGCCAGCGGACGACATATTTGCTTAGACTTCTCCCCAGCCACTTAAAAGCTCTTTGTGAAACTATAGCCACGTGTAACTTTGCCTTCCCACTTCTTGTACTCGTAAACTTCACTTTCGTGTGCCATAATGTGTTAGTAGGGCATTTGCTCCCTGGGATGTTTATCTGCCATAAATTGATGATAAATTAATAATCTGTTTACATCAGTGAGCTAACTACATGATTCCCCATATAACTAATTTTTCACTCATGTCATTTATAAAGCTTCGTTTTTACGATATTCAACCATCCATTACTGCTATTGTTCGCTCAATTAATTGGCAGCTCCTTGACATTGATCCGCTTAGCAAGGGAAACATGAAAAACTACGTGGAAGAACTTTGTAATCTTCGCGCTATTGGTTTGTCTGGTCGTCCTGCCATGTCATCTCGTGTTACTGAAGTTTTATGGAAACCACCTTCTCTACATTGGGTCAAGGTGAATACCGATGATGCAGCTTATGGATCACCAGGATTAGCTGGTACTAGCAGCATCTTTCGTGATCATTTTGGTTCATGCATAGGGTGTTTTGCTACTTCTTTAGGGGTGGCTACATCTTTTGAAGCTGAATTGCATGTTGTAATTCATGCGGTAAACTTGGCTTATGAGAAGGGTTGGTGTTACCTTTGGATTGAGTGTGATTCATCCTGAGCTGTTCTTTTCATTTATGCTTCTCATAATAGTGTTCCCTGGCGTTTGAAGGAATGTTGGTCGAATTGTCGAGCGTTGCTCTCTTCTATGTGCATATGAGTTACACATATTTTTCATGAAGGGAATCATTGAACCGTCTTATATGTTGTCTCCTCGACAAATCGAGGAAAACCACCAGACAGGTACTCTCTAGAAGGAAAGGTGCGGTATTCCATTTCAAACTATGTCTCTACTTATTGACTTTCACCGAAATACTGTGCATTTGTTCAGCAAATGGAAACCATCAAAATACCCACCAGGGTGGAGGAAGCTTTGAAAGATTCAAAATGGACAAAAGCAATGCAAGTTGAAATGGAAGCGCTACAAAAGAATAATACATGGAGTGTGGTCCCACTTCCCAAAGGAAAGAAATCAGTGGGGTGCAAGTGGGTGTTCACTATTAAACATAAGGTAGATGGAACAATTGATAAATACAAGGCGAGGCTAGTGGCCAAAGGTTTTACCCAAACCTTTGGGGTTAATTATCAAGAAACTTTTGCCCCTATTGTAGATGAATACCATTAGAGTTTTATTATCTCTTACTACAAACCATGATTGGCCTCTGAGATAGTTTGATGTTAAAAATGCTTTTCTACATGGTGATTTAGAGGAAGTGGTGTACATGGATATTCCATCAAGTTATGGCGCTGCGAACTCCAGTGGGAAAATGTGTAGACTTCAGAAGACACTGTATAACCTTAAACAGTCACCCAGTGCGTGGTTTGGGCGGTTTACCCAGGCGATGAAGAAATATGGGTATCAATGGAGAAACGCAGACCATACATTGTTCATCAAACGCAAGGATGGCAAGGTAGTTCTGCTTATCATATATGTAGATGATATGATTGTCATAGGTGATGATACAATGGAAATCAAACATCTGCAAAGGCATTTGTCTTCTAAGTTTGAGATTAAAGATCTTGGAAGAATTAAATACTTCTTGGGAATTGAGGTGACTAGGTCTCAGGAAGGAATATACTTGTCTCAGAGAAAGTATGTGTTGGATCTTTTGTCTGAAACTGGTATGTTAAGGTGTAAACCAATGGATACACCTTGTTTATACCATATTTAGGGCCTCCGTATTTAGATCTCCTATAAATACTCGGGAGACTTAAATGTAATTATGTAATACAGGAAGGGGCAAATATGTAATAAGTGAGGAGCCCTTATTCTATAAAATGACTCATCACCCTTACAATTAGGGGAGGCCAATTCCTAAGGCTCCTCACCCTCTCAACGCTCTCACTATCATTCAGAGCTCTTTCTCCCTCAGATAAATACATAATCAGTATGGACGTAGCCCAAACCTTGGGGTGAACCACAATACATCTTGTGTTATTTACATTTCTTGCAGATTCACGGTCGGATTTACGTTGTACCAAGACCTCTGGTTTTGTGCATCAACATTTAGAGCCATTTGTGGGAATCGATACGAAAAGTTATGTCGGTTCTCTTTCATTTTTTCACATCCACTGTGAATCTGCAAAAAACCCACAAACCTCATTGGATTTTTTCCAAAAAAAAACATTCACTAGCTCTGAGTTACTTTCTTTCTTCATCCATTAGTTTTCTGTTCCAATATTTTCAGTTTCAATGAGGTTCTGTCTCCCTTGCATCCTTGCTTTTCTAACTCTCGTCACTCACTTTCTCTCTCATCGCCACGCAGACCCTCACCTCATCTCCACTTATAGACTTTCTTCTCCTAGAATTCAAATCCATGGAATTGGTCTCCCCGTTTGGATTCTACTCAGAAATCATCGATTCCTCTTGAGAATTGGGGAGTTCACTCCGATCCTACGGCAGAACACTCATCTTTTCCTGCATACTCGTCTAAGATCCGAGTGCCTTAATCGACGGACTGCTCGAAACCCGAGGAAGCTTAACAACTTTTCAGCTCACCCAGAAGAGAGAAACGAGTGAAGAAGATGGACAAGAAGCTTCTGGATGCAACCATGGCGGGAGACACTGCGACGCTTAAAGATCTGATCGCAGAAGACCCACTCGGTCTCGACAGAGCTTTAGTCTCCTGCGTCTCCGAGACGCCGCTTCACGTAGCTTTAATGCTGGGTCACCTGGGTTTTGTTACCGAGTTACTGAGCTGCAACCCCGAGCTAGCCTCCGAGCTGGACTCGCATGGGTCAACGCCTCTCCACGTAGCGGCCGCCAAGGGGCGAGTTAAATCAGTGAGAGAGTTGGTCCGAGTTGGGAATGAGTCGACCTGGGCTTTGACCGACTGAGGTGAGACGGCGCTGCACTTGTGCGTTGGGTGTAACCAGTTGGAGGGGTTGAAGGTTTTGGTCGAGGCAGCTGGGAATGATGATGATTTTGTGAATTGGAAGAATTATGATGGTAACACTGTTTTGCATATTGCCATGGCCAAGAAGCAAACCGAGATTACCAAATTCTTGTTGTTTAAAACTGGCGTGAACGTGAATGCGTTGAATGCAAACAACGCTACCGCCTTAGACATTCTGAAGCAAAGTTCTAGAGATTTGAGGGATATGGAGATTGAGGATTCTCTTCGAGGTGTTGGGGCTTAACAGACATTGACATTCTCTCTCTTTGATAAGAAAAAACCGCATGCGTATCAGCCATTCCTGTCTCTAGCAGTTCATCGCGAACAGCCTGAGTGGCATTAAGCGATGCAACTCTTTTGATTTCCCTTTTCAACTTATTGAGATCAGATTTATATTCCCTTAACTTGGCAAGAAACACCGCCTTCACGCTTGGTTGCAAGTTTCTGGCTTCGAGAAGCACCACCTTCTCTCGATTCGCCATCACCATTTTCAAGAAAGAGACAGAGAGAAATGTGCAGTGAATAGAGAGAAAGAAAAAGCAAAAAGAAAAGAAGTGACAGCATCGTGTAACTTTGCGACACTTTCACGTTGCGAGGCCCTTGTTTGCCATCTGCCAAAAAGGAAAAAGAGAAAGCAAAAGAGAAAAGGGAAAAGAGAAAGCAAAAGTAAAGCAAAATGAGAGAAGAGAATAAAGTCTGCAAGATTGGGTTTTTACTGAGCACATACATGACAACAGCGCAGAGACAGATACAGAGACAGAGAGATATGTGTGGTGGAAAAGTAAAAGCAAAAAGCAAAAGCAAGGAATAAACACCCCACCGGAATGATGTGATTTACTTTTCTTATTTTTGAATGATGTATTTTTCTTATCTTTCGGGAACATCTGTATAAACCCCATCAGAGGGTAAAAAAACAAAAAAAAAAAAAAAAAACGGCAAAGCCTAAAATAAATGGGCTGGAATGTTGTGTAGAGGGCGAAGGCCCATAAGCCCAAAATAGCTCAAACCAGATGACCAAAAGTACACCAAGTACTCCACAATTATTCAGCAACTCACCGCTATTACCACCAACCAGGTGATCAAAAGTACGCCCAGTACTCCAAAATTATTCGGCAACCTGCCGTTATTACCACCAACCAGGTGATGAAATGTACAACCCGTACTCTAATATTATTTGGCAACTAGCCATTCATGCCACCAACTAGGTGATGAAATGTACAACCCGTACTCTCCTTCATGCCACCAACTAGGTGATCAAAAGTACGACCAGTACTTCATATTATACATGAGCATTACTCATGTCAATCATACATAAACATTCATGAGCATCACTCATATCAATCATACATAAACATTCATGAGCATCTCTCATATCAATCATACATAAACATTCATGAACATCACTCATGTCAACATCCATGAACATCACTCATGTCAATCAAACATTCATGAACATCACTCATGTCAATCAGCTTCAAAAGCTTCATTTACAAAAGCTCTAGCTTCAAAAGCTTCATTTACAGAGCTCCAGCTTCAAAGCTTCACTTACAAAGCTTCAGTGCAGGGTATACAAATACCGCCTCTAAACAACCGCCACTTCGGCCCATACATGGATTCAATTTGAAGTTTCCAGCCAACAAACTCTATTGACCGAAGACTTGAGGGACTACATTATGTACCATATATTGGGCCTCAACTGGGCCTCATGAAAAATACTTAGGGGACTCTAGCCCACCATTCATGTATTGAGAAGCGAGCCCTTATTCTATAAAAGGGACTCCCTCACCACCATTAGAGAGCATTAACTCTAGCCCGTATTTATGTATTGAGGAGCGAGCCCTTATTCTATAAAAGAGACTCCCTCACTACCATTAGAGAGCATCGCCGCCTACTGAGCAACCACCTCACCGCAAGCATCAACTCTAGCCTATCATTCATGTATTGAGGAGCGAGCCCTTATTCTATAAAAGGGACTCTCTTACCTTCAACGCCACAAGCCGAGCCAACCAAGGCAAACATAAGCTATGAGCCGAGTAGCCTCGGAGCATGTGCTATTTCTAGTTGAACATCATTTCAGATTGAGCACCGCCTCATATCGAGCATCAGTTCAAGACAACATCTAGTTACTTTGGCCCACACATGGACTGAATTTCAAGTCTCCAGCCGAAAGACTCTCTTGACTGAAGACTTGGGGGACTACTGTTTATAACATATTTAGAGCCTCTGTATTTAGATCTCGTATAAATACTTGAGGGACTTAAATGTAATTATGTAATAAAGGAAAGGGCAAATATGTAATAAGTGAGGAGCCCTTATTCTATAAAATGACTCTTCACCCTCACAATTAGGGGAGGTCAATTCCTAAAGCTCCTCACCTTCTCAAAGCTCTCGCTCTCATTTAGAGCTCTCTCTCCCTCAGATAAATACATAATCAGTGTGGATGTAGCCCAAACCTTAGGGTGAACCACGATACATCTTGTGTTATTTACATTTCTTGCAGATTCATGGTCGGATTTACGTTGTACCAAGGCCTCCGGTTTTGTGCATCAACACACCTATTATGCAGAATCATTATCTAGCAATTTATCAAGATCAAGTCCCAGTGAATAGGGAAAGGTATCAAAGATTGGTAAGGCGGTTGATTTATTTGTCGCTTACAAGGCCAGATATTGCTTACGCAGTAAGTGTAATGAGTCAATTTATGCCTGCTCATAGTGAGGATCATATGGCAACAGTAATTCGGATTCTGAGTTACTTAAAAGGAGCTCCAGGAAAAGAGTTGATGTATAGAAAGCATAGGCATATGGAGGTGAAAAGGTATATAGATACAAATTGGGCTGGAAATATCACTGATCGGTGGTTTACGTCAGGATACTTCACATTTGTAGCTGGTGATGGAGAAGTAAGAAGCAAAATGTGGTGGCAAGGTCTTCGGCCGAGGCTGAGTACAGAGGAATGGCACATGGTATTTGTGAGCTTCTATGGCTTTGGATTCTACTTACTGAGATAGGGTTTAAACCAAAAGGTTCTATACTGTTGTACTATAATAATCAAGGAGCACAGGAGATAGCTAATAATCCGGTGCAGTAAGATAGGACCAAACATGTTTAGGTGGATAGACATTTTATCAAAGAAAAGTTGGATGTTAAGTTGGTTGACACTCCGTTCCTGAAGACAGAAGAACAGTTGGCAGATATTCTAACTTATGCAGTTTCTGCAAGAAGGTTTCAAGACTCACACGACAAGTTGGGCCTAGATGATATCTATGCACCAACTTGAGGGAAAATGTTGGCGTGAGTCAACAATAATACAATAGGAAAGTAATTGTGTTTGCTAGTTTGAGTATAACTCACCTTTTATGTCTTTAATATTCCTTGTAGTACAAGGATTGAGTATGTATATTATGTGTTGCCTCATATGAGAGAAGAATATAAAAAGAAATATATTGAAACCCTAAAATTAGTTTCATCTTATAATCTCATAATAAGGCATGTCCATCACCAATGTGGGACAAACTTTTCCTCACATCATCAAATCTCAACACAACATGCCCAGATTCAAATTAAATAACCTCAATCAAATTTAGGGACTCGGATATTGTACATGAATTTACTTAATATAATTCACCATCTAATAGTTAGATATTCAAACTAATGATGAATGAGATGAATATTTTAAATAAATGCATACTTTTGTGTACCTAGTCAAATTTGTTTAAAGTTTGAACACATGCTCAATTTATGAAGCACACATAACACGTCATAACTCAATCTCTCTCTCTCTCTCAGATATTTTATCACAACCAAATTTTTAAGAACTCTGTTTTCAGCCTCAGTTTTTTTTAGTGTAAGTAAGATATTCATATATTAAGAAGGAATATGTACAGATTATTGAGAATAGAATGTTAACAATGGATCTCGATAAAAATTTTGCTAGGAATTTCAATCTGAATAAAGAGATAAAAAACGTCCCACACCAACCATTTATAAAGTTTTTCAAACCTTCTACACAAATTGAGTTGTCAATAAGGATATATGGGTACGCGATTCTACCATTTAACAAACTGTTATGAACTTGCTATAAAGAGGCTGATTCAAAGCTCTTTAACTAATCAATTTAGAATGAATGGATTTGCATACTTACTAGAAAAAAAAAAAAGAGGCTACTTAGGTTTTTTTCTGGTTAAGTATAGAATTAACATAATGATTAAAATGTATTTAGTGTTTCTCAGATATTTTATCACAACCAAATTTTTAAGAACTCTGTTTTCAGCCTTAGTTTTTTTTAGTGTAAGTAAGATATTCATATATTAAGAAGGAATACGTACAGATTATTGAGAATAGAATGCTAACAGTGGATCTCGATAAAAATCTTGCTAGGGATTTCAATCTGAACGAAAAGAAAAAAAACGTCCTGAACCAACCATTTATAAAGTTTTTCAAACCTTCTGCACAAATTGAGTTGTCAATAAGGATATATGGGTATGCGATTCTACCATTTAATAAACTGTTATGAACTTGCTATAAAGAGGCTGATTCAAGGCTCTTTAACTAATCATTTTAGAATGAATGGATTTGCATACTAGCTAGAAAAAAAAAAGGCTACTTAGGTTTTTTCTGGTTAAGTATAGAATTTATATAATAATTAAAATGTATTTAGTGTTTCTCAGATATTTTATCACAACCAAATTTTTAAGAACTCTGTTTTCAGCCTCAGTTTTTTTTAGTGTAAGTAAGATATTCATATATTAAGAAGGAATACGTACAAATTATTGAGAATAAAATGTTAACAGTGGATCTCGCAAAAATCTTGTTAGGAATTTCAATCTGAACGAAGAAAAAAAAAACGTTCCGCACCAACCATTTATAAAGTTTTTCAAACCTTCTACACAAATTGAGTTGTCAATAAGGATATATGGGTATGCGATTCTACCATTTAACAAACTTTTATGAACTTGCTATAAAGAGGCTGATTCAAAGCTCTTTCACTAATCATTTTGGAATGAATGGATTTGCATACTTACTAGAAAAAAAAATAAAGAGGCTACTTAGGTTTTTTCTGGTTAAGTATAGAATTTACATAATAATTAAAATGTATTTAGTGTTTTAATTGTAAACTAAAAAATGCACGAAAGCTCTAACTTCTGATACGAAATTCAGATTAAAAGTTGTTGCTTGGACAAGTAAATGAGGAAAACCTAATTATTCTAAAGCTAAAAATAGTATCTAAGATTAGGATTCGGCAAGTGTGCGAGAGCTTTCACTTTTTACGTTATTTTTAGAGTGTTGATATCTACACATTTATTTTTATTTTCCACGTACTCCTTTTAATTTATATCATTTGATTATCTCCAATTCATTTGATTTAATGACAGAAAATTAAAAGAAATGTGTTAAAAGTAAAAAAAGAGTGTAAATAGTAACACCGTCTTTTTAATATGAAATAATAGTGTTAAGAAAGTAAGGGAGATAAGATAAGGAATAGGATCCTATCGCGATCCTATTTGTAGTGTTTCAAATGATCAATCAATTGTGTTTGTTCACCGTATATAGTGTTGTTAGAAATTATTTTAAATTATTTTATTTAAAATTAAATATAAATAGTATTTAACGAAAATTGACCGTACGATATATAATAAACATACAGAATTATTAATCTTCCGGATCCCCACAAAGAGAATCCGAAAAAGATCATCTTCCATAAGAAATGTGGTTGAGCACAATCTTCGACGAAGCCGCTCACCACACAGACGGTCTTACCAAAACCTCACAAAAATATCTTGCTCTAACTTTTATATTTTATCTCTTGACCTCTTTCTTTTTTGTTAATCAGCGATAGAGAACGAAGGCCTCCTGGGATTTGCTTCTGAAGCTACGGAGAGGCAAATCTGAGGATCTGAAAGTCCATTAAACACCATATACAAGACATCCCTAAATTTCTTTCTTGGTTGTTAAAATAAAAGTCATAATTCTTATTATAAATTGTTACTCAGTACTACGGTCTGATAATATTTATCTTCACTTAAAAGTGAGAGGTCTTAGGTTTGAATCTCATAAATGACGAATTTGATACTAAATATAGCTAAAATACCTTAAAATTTGCACAAATAATCCTAGTAAAATTCTTATAGCATTTTGCAAGTTACATGATCCATTGTTGTGTTTTCCTTGGTTCAATCTCTCTCCCGCTCAATCGCTTGCATTAAAACGAAATCAAAAGAAATTGTTAAGGCCCACTTGAAGTTGAAGCCCAACCAAACTATTCTTTAAGCAGACAGGAAGAAAATTAATGAAAAGATAAAGAAAGTGATAAAAGCAACATCCATCCACTCACTCACTTGGAGTTGGCTGCACCTGCAAACTTCAACAACAATGGACGCCAAACTCCTCCACCTCCTCAGCTCAACGCCAGCCTCCCCAACCCACCTCGCCCTCACAAAACCTTCGCCAACTAAACATAACCATATCTTCTCCCCCGCCCGTCCCCGGCCTCTCAGAATCAGCACACTAGTTTACAACACCACCGGCAGTGATGGTGGTGGCAGCACTAGCAGTCCGGACACTGACGGCAACAGCGTGGCAGCCCCAGACGCCACGGGAGTGCGGTTTAAGAAGAGGTTGAGAAGGCGGACGAAGCAGCAGCGAGAGGAGGGCGGTGAGAGGGACGGGGGACGGGTCATGAAGGCTCAAGCTAGTGCTGCTCCAAAGAAGTGGGAGGATATGAGCCTGGGGGAAAAGGCATTGGAGCTTTATGTGGGGGAGAAGGGTGCTTTGTTTTGGTTAAATAAGTTTGCTTATGCTTCAATTTACATAGTGATTGGGGCTTGGATTCTCTTCAGGTTTGTTGGACCAGCTCTTAACCTGTACCAGTTGGATGCACCTCCTCTCTCTCCCACTTCCATCCTCAAGGGTTCCTGATTGATTCAATCATTCTCTTCTCCAAGAGATTTTCTACTTCGCGTTTTGATTTCGATGATGTTATAGTAGACTTCGTTCACATACAATCTACAACTTATCGATTCTACGAACCAAATACTTATCGTTAGCGAAAGGTCTATAGCTCAACTGGTCAAAAGCATTCACCTGCATCCGAGATTCTGGTGTCCAATTCCTCAACCCCGATATTGTTTGTATTACGAAGAAAACATGCATCTTTATTGTTAGCATAAATTAGCACTCCAGGACAATCCGACGAGAAAATTCCGGAGGAAAAACACAGTTTTGAGCATGTAATATTACTGATGAATAAAGCGTACACAGCCATGTCTTCTCTGTGAAACGGAACTATGGAGCTGTAAATTACATTATTGCAGTGCAACGATTAAGAGTGAATATCAATATGCTATCTGAATAATGTGAGATAACCCGGCGCTTATAGCAAAAGGTTCATCTTCACCTCAACATAGTACACAATGAAAGGCTAAATCAAAACTTGAATGAGCACCAAGCATACAACTTTATGAATTTGAATGGCTACATGGCCTTCACTGGCTGAGCGGTTGCATCTCTTTCAGTCTTGCACCTGCAGATAACAAGGGTTCCAACATTCAGAGCAAATTACTATGTATAATGCAGATCATTTACACGCCTCAACTCGGAGCATAATTGATACACAAAATTTGAAAATTATTGTTCTATCAGGATATATCAAGAAAGAGGTTTCACTGCTCCATCAGGATATATTCCATACCATATGGGAAAACAGTTTACTATGCCATTGGTAAAGTTGGGATTAAAACCCAAGGAAAAGGATGAAGTAACGAATGTTAAGCAAAAGAGGAATCAATGCTTAGTTTAGAAACTAACCTATTGCAGTTTAATCGAGATGCATAATTATGATTGTTGCAATTTGTGCACATCCAATCCCCATTACGCCATTGCTTTGCGCTGCGAAGTCAATAAAATATAAGTAAGAAAATCCTTATCAAAGAAGCTAATCTTACAATAGCTGATTTTGTGCTAAAAAATATAGGCTCATCATAAGTGACGTTTATAGGGGCCATATTTAATTAGGGATAGATATTATCCACGTTTAAAAAGGGGTGGAAGCAAACTGAAAATAGTTAAATAAACATGAATAATACACTGCAAGAACAAATATGCATATAATAACAAAGACTCAAAGACCAAAACTGTTATCTAACCAACCGAATGTGGTACCTAAGCATGCATATGTAAAAGGAAAAGCTGATTCCAAACTCACCCTTTTCCAAGAAGCGTAGGTGTCATTGCTTGCTGTGTGAATGGCATGGGTACTTGCAAATTCGGAGCCACGCCTGAGCTTATATTGGGATGATAAGGAGCGTAAGGTCCAGTTGCGGGGTTACCACTGGTCCCTACTACTTGCTCAAATCCAGGATAGGATTGCTGCTGCCCAACTGTCTGCACATTTAGTGAAAAGAATACGGAGAGAATGAGGAGAGGAAGAAAGCAAGGGATACTGTATGAAACAATATTATAAAGTTTTATAATCTAAAATTCCATAGAAAAGATAGATCATCCTTACATGTCCTACATTCAGTCTCTTGTTATCCCAGTCATGAACAAGCTCTTCGGACGCTAATCGCTTCATTCCAAGAGCTTTATATGAAAAAAGAGGAATGGAAATAAATGAGCATTAGTTACAATATGATACCAGTGATTAATAATGGAACCCAATAACTGTAGCTCAGGTGCTTCTAAAACATAAATCCATCATACGACAATTGCAATGCTGATAAAGAAAGGGCGTACACGGTGGAAAAGCATCGCATTTTTTGCACTGCAGATAAATCAAAGTTTGATCAGAAATCAACAGTTAGGTAAGGAAAACTCTTTGCTTCAAATGCTCATGTAGCATCATCATACCTGTGTTCGAGATGAATAATTATGGAAACCACAACTGCATAACCAATCACCACTGCGCCATCCTTTTGGAACTGAAAGAAGCTGATTAGTAGAATTTGCATGTGGAAGTCCAGCATTATGGTTTCCACCTACAGGCCAAGTAGAAGCCAGCTGAACTCCAAACTTATCAGCCCCTGGTATAGACCAGTTCAGAGGAAGCGAATGTGGGGGAGCACCATTGCCCATCATCATCCTTTGGTCCCGTCCTCCTTGGACCCTGGCAAAATGATGTGAATAAGTTGGGAGAGAAGCTCCGGGGATTGCAACCGCTGGCATTGCCGCTACCTCCTTTGGTTGCCCGCACTTTTTGCACTTTTCTCTTGATGCATAATTGTTGTTAGTGCAACCTATTGATCCATTGCCACACACACCCAACCCACAATCCAGCCAAGTACGCACACCAACAAGTCCACCCCACACCAAAACACCCATACAAGAAACAGAAACCACTCAACCTAATTGATAGCGAGTTGCTAACCATTTTTTTTTTCAACTTGATAAAAAAATGAAAAGCAAAGAAAAATACAAGCTGCAATAACAATTATGCATTCACATTGAATAAACAAGGTCAAGGAAATGTGTCATTACTCATTAGGCTACGAACGTGCAAGTAAGATATACTCTTTCTGTAATTGAAATCGAACGCACCCAAAGAAAAAAGATCGTATATTTGTTCAACTGGGAAATTCAACTTCAAAGTTGTACTTCATTCCTTTCCTATATTCTTATATACCAAACAAAGCATGTACCCTAACTGCCATACTCAACCTCTATCTCTCTCAACAAAACTGATAAACGATTTGTAAAATGACCGTCTTTCCCTTTGAACCCAACTTACAAAAAGGCAACTGAAAATGGGTAATTGGAATGAACTGAGAAGACAGCACTCCCCAAGCTTTAATTCTCAATTATAAACAAGAAAGAAGAGTGTGAGATGTTATTAGGCTTATTACCGTCAATGAAAACTAAAAACTGATAACGAAATGGTTATCAATCGGCCATAAGCATCTAAGTTTCTAACCGTTAATGAATAATAAGGAAAGGGGACTGTTTACATCTCTAATTTTCTTCCTAAAAATAGAAACACCAAACCCGTTGAAGTAACCATTATTATATGTGCAGTACAATTCAATCAAAACCCCATATAAATACCCTTAAACCCTACAACTCCCAAAACCCATATCCATATACAAACCAAAATTAACCCTAGTAAAATTCTAGCAATCTTAGAGAGAGAAAGTTAGAGAGAGAGAGAGAGAGGGGCGTGAGGTCTAACCGGTGCAGATCCAATCGCCGATGCGAGGGAGCCACTTAGAGTCGGCGGGGGTTTTGGTGTCGACGAGAAGGCGAGGCTGCTTGCAGCGATTGCAGAAGGATCTGAAGGCGTAGTTTCTGTTCCTGCATCCACTGCACTCCCAATCCCCTTCTCTTCCTTCCGCCATTGTTTGATTAGATTACAGTTCTCACTCCTACTCCGCTCCTTCGTCTTCCGCCTATATATCTGTGTGTCTGCTAAGCTCCGAGGGTCGACGAGCAAGCAAGCGAGACGCAGGGATCGTACGGACTACGGAACTCTCGAGTTGCCGGGCGAGCTCCTACCTCTCGCGCCCTTGTCCAGTTGACCTTGAAAAAAAACAGGATAATACGGGCCGTCACTAGTTGATTAGGGCCGTGGCCCAATATCTTCAGGCCCAATAGGCCCATCACGAGTGTTGATGTTTGTTTGTTTTTTTTTTGTACCGCGCAACAAACAAAGCAAAAATCTTTCAAAACAACGGACAAGCCGCGCCAGCCGTTTTTGCAATTCATAAGGTTGTCCCGACGCTCATAACGGCATCATTCTCCGGCCACGTCTATCTGCCTTCCACGCAGACCCGCGGTCGCGTTGGGCATCACAATCTGTCTCTGAATCCATCAAATAAAACAAAAGACCGACTGTTTTTTCCTTCTTCTGGGTCGGGAAATCACAATCGGATTTGGTATTTACGGATCAAAAGCTCGAATCTTGTAGAAAAATGGTTCGGAGAACTATCGCTTTGAATCGGATGTGAAACATGGAACTGAAAGCTGGGAAAGAAGCCGATTGCAGCACAGAGTCGAAGTCGAAGACGGAGAGATGGTGTTGGCGGTTACTTCTGTTATTAACTATCTCTCTGCTAGCAGCAATGGTTGCACTTACTCTTGTACAGTATTTCAAGCACTGGAAATCAAGCAGGGTCTCAGGTCACCGTGGCGCCATCATGCCAAAATACTCCGAAGCTCTTCAGATCTCCATGCAGTTCTTCGATGCCCAGAAATGTAACATAAACCCAATTCTCCGTTTCTTGTTTTGCGGTCTTTTTGGGACTGCTTCTGGAAAGGCTAAAAGCGGTTTTCTGTCAACTAGAAGCACATTTCTGCTTTTGTTTGTCAGAAAAACTTAAAAACGTTGTGCTTTCTGCAGAAACAGTCTCAATGATCCCTTGATTTTATTTGTAAGTTATAAACCAAGCATGTTATGATCCTGTGTTACTTCTTCTTCTTGTTGCAGCTGGTAAGCTGGTGGATAACCCCATTCCGTGGCGAGGGGATTCGGGCCTCCAAGACGGGAGTGAGGATGATTTGGATTTGTCAAAGGGACTGTATGATGCAGGTGATCTCATCAAGTTTGGCTTTCCCATGGCTTTCACTGCAACTGTGTTGTCTTGGGCGATTCTTGAATATGGAGACCAAATGAAAGCTGTGAAGCAGTTGGATCATGCCCATGACTCACTTAAGTGGATCACTGATTACCTAATCAATGCACATCCTTCTCCAAATGTGCTTTATGTTCAGGTTAGTTACATTATTTAGGTTAATTGCTTCAAATTTTCAATGATATCCTAGTAAACTCTTCGATACATGGACGGTAATGCTCAAGTTGTTAGACTGTGAATCGGGACAATTCATTAGATCAATTATTGTCTGAATTTGTGGTCTAGAACCAGTGTCTCGCAAATCGCAGTGTAAAAACATCTGTCTTGCAATATAAGTTTGTTTAGAGAACATTACTCTTAGTATCATGTTTGTTTGAATACACTAGGATTGCTAGATCGTGAATGGGGACAATTCATTAGGTTTATTCTTGCCTTAATTTGATCGCATTCACAGTCAGGCATATAAGAGTGTCTTGCGATACAAGTTTCGTAAGAGAACATTATTTAGTGAACGAATTTTGGTGACCTAGTAGTGCCCTATTCTCTCGGATTTTCTCGCCTACGACTAATAGTATATAATTGTCTATCTCTATCATCATGTGATAAGATTGCTTTGTTCTTAATCTCTTTCTCTTTCTCTAAATTTTGTTTGTTTGTTAATTTGTTAACTTTTATGTGATTGAAGGTGGGTGATCCTGAGTTGGATCACAACTGTTGGCAGAGACCGGAAGTCATGACAGAGAAAAGGCCTCTGATTCAAATCAACACATCCTTCCCAGGAACAGATGTTGCAGCAGAAACTGCAGCTGCCATGGCGTCGGCATCTCTGGTGTTCAGGAAAATCAACTCCTCTTACTCTAAGTTGCTCCTCACGCACGCCGAGCAGCTGTTTTCTTTTGCTGATACTTATAGAGGTGCCTATAGTGTCAGCATTCCCCAAGTGCAAATCTACTACAACTCTACAGGATATGGAGACGAACTCTTATGGGCAGCTACCTGGCTCTATCATGCAACTGAAGACCCAACCTACTTCAAATATGCAACCGAACAGAACGGGCCAGCGTTTGCAAATTGGGGAAGTCCGTCTTGGTTTAGCTGGGATGACAAGCATGCTGCAACTCAGGTACATAGTATATAACAATGGTTTACCATTGTGTAGTTTATAGGCCAAGATTAACTATTACAACTAAGCATTTTTGTTGTTTAACTATCCTGAAGATACGGCAAGCCCTTTTTGTTTAAGTAAAACGGGTTGTGAACCCGCATTTAGTTGCTTCTAATCATTTTCAGGTCATATGCTGTCACGAAAAATTATTTGTTGTAAGTCTCTTGAAGAATAAATACAATTTGTGTCATGTTGGAGCAGGTTCTGATGTCTAGGATAAGTTTCTTTGGCACAAAAGACATGTCATCTGCAGAGAACATTGATCTTCAGGAATACAGGGAAACTGCAGAGGTTTTCATGTGTTCACTTCTACCCGATTCCCCCACGGCAACATCCAGCAGAACATCCAGTAAGCTATTCTTTTTGCTGTCACTATTTCGCACGAATTAGCATCTTCGCACTCACTAATCTCTTCACATATATTCATCATTGTTGTCTGACTACAAGAAACTCATGTACAGAACATGTTAGCTTATGCCTCATTATCCAATGGAAAACAATCGGTTTTTTTTTCCTTTGATACATGCTAATTGAATGCACACGCACGTCACATCGTGTGTGCGAAGACTAAATTGATGAGTGCATGTCATGCGATGTAGGCGGTCTGATTTGGGTGATAAAATGGAACTGTCTACAGCATGCTGTGGCTTCAGCATTTTTAGCCATTCTCTATAGTGACTACATGCTAACATCTAAAACCGAAATCCTGTATTGCGATGGAAAATCCTACAATCCTGTTGACCTTCGCAAGTTTGCCATCTCTCAGGTATTCGATTGGGCTAGTTCATCATCATATATAAGTTGGTTTTTCTTGCCCGTTTTCATCAAACTAACCTAATTGCAAACAAAAACCCTTGCAGGCAGATTATGTGCTAGGAGAAAACCCAATGAGGATGAGCTACCTTGTAGGGTACGGAAGCAGCTACCCTCAATATGTTCACCACAGGGGAGCTTCAATTCCAGTGGGTGCAGAAACCGGCTGCATAGACGGGTTTAAGTGGCTGGACTCACCCAATCCCAACCCAAATGTAGCTGTTGGTGCCCTAGTTGGTGGCCCTTTCATGAATGAGACCTACATTGATTCCAGGAACAATTCAATGCAAGGTGAGCCAAGCACTTACAATAGTGCCCTTATTGTGGCACTCCTATCAGGCTTAGTTGCCACTTCTCCAGTGGCCAAGACTTTCTCGTAGACACAAGATTTTGTGTGGCCCCTCTTGATGCGGGGCTTTAGGCGGTCGCTTGACATTGTAATATAGCATGTAGGTATGGTTATATATGTTCGAGTGACATTGTAATATAGTTCAAACTTGGGGAGGAGATCCGAGTTGGAGTGCAAAAGAAGACACTGCTCTAGCCGGCCAACTTGGTTACGCCGGGTTTTCGCTCGTACGGTATCTTTTTAGTGATTCAGGTGGAGACAGAGGTGATTGATCTCATGCTGGTTTTAGCTAGCAGGAACACCAGACTGGGATTTGCCCATTTCCCTGATGTGAAAATATTGAGCTGTGACTTGATTTATCATTGCTGTTGGATGTTGTTCTCTTTGTAATATTGGCAGGTTTTTGGTTTGAAATGTTGGGTTCTTCCCATTGTGGTATAAGCATATTAAGCTCAACCAGTTAGAAAACACGTCATCTCAATCTAATGTTAAAATGACGACATGATAAAAACTGATAACTTCTGCGAACAAATGCCAAAAATCGGTATGGTCAATTAGTTGCAAAGATCGGTTTTGACATTTGATTGTATATGGATGTCTCAGCAGTGATGTAATGATGCTAAAATAACAACATGATAAAAACTGATCATTTCTAAGAACAAATACCAAAAACTGATTTTCAGCTAATTGCCCCAAAAACAATGCAAGTTTTTAAAGAACTCCAACATCCCAAACAAAACAAACACTTTCCTCATCATAAATCAAACTTAAGAAACATATCTCAACCTAGAGCTCGTTTAGAAGACTTTTAAAATAATTGAAAACGCTTTTATAGAAAATATTTTTTGGTTGCAAAAGCACTTGAAAGGTTTCTTGCAAGAAGCATCAGTTATGTTCTTCTTGAAGTGTTTTCTAGGATTTATTTGCAGTTTTACTTAGGATTTGTTCCAAAAATATTTTCATCGAAAACGCTTTCAACTATTTTAAAAGTACTTCCGAACGAGCTTCTAATGTTATTGATATATTCCATGTAATGGATACGAACTCTATCGATAGAACTTGTTCCAAAATAATTAACATAGCTTTGGAGCTTATTGCGTCACTGAAGAAACATTTGAATCATATGATATTTAGTCGACCCTGGCTTCTTTGTAAGGTTCTAAACCATACAATTGAATAGAAAAGAGAGGAAGAAACCACGAGGTTCTAAGTTCGATTCGTCCTCTCTCAACATCATTTGCATAAAGGGCACAACATTTATTTTCAAAGCGGATCATAGATTTGATTTCTTCATCGCCCAATATCTCTTATATTTAAAAAAAAAAAAAAAATTTAAAAATGTCTTATGAATTTATATATATTTTTTAACTTGTCATATGAAATAAAATTTTAAGCGACTTGTCATATCATTTTTTCGAAATCATTAATTTGTCATATCACCTAACACCGTTAAGTTTTTTTTTATTCAAAATAAATCATGTACAATGCGCATAACTTGTGTTCAGAATTATTTCGAACTTTTGAGACCTTTTCACAAGTTTTTTATTTTATTTTTATACATAGATATATTTAAACATGGAGTGGGAGAATAAAT